GATCCTATTCTAGTAGTAGAACGCACTTCACTTAGAAAAAAGTCACTTGGTTGTAACAGTTAAGTTCTTTGCTGCCACTAATATTTTTTTTCCTATTACAGTAGAAACACTTATTATTACCTAATAAGTATATTTTCTACCGCGGCAAAGTGCTTGCCTGCAACTATGAATTTTTTTTATTTTTATTACTGCTGAAAAGAATTTGGCTGCTACAAAAAAAGTTGAACTCTGGAAGTTGTTTTATTGCCTAATTATTATTAAAAACCAACCCAATGTCAAAAGTTATGTAACAGCATGGTGGGCAAAATGAGCGTAGGTATTCAATTTATGTGCGCTGGTCTAATAGAAAACGCGACGTCGGATATAATTTAACAAGTCTTATAGGACCAGCGCGCCATGTAGCGATAGACAATGTGCGCTGGCCTAATAGGAAACGCGATGCCAGTCCCAAAGGATTAGCGCTAATCAAATAGGAAACGGAAAAATGCACCCGGGTTCGCTCAGTAAGATTGAACGATGAGAATTTTTATTACCTTTTAAACAACAAATCTTCTGAAACATGAAATGAAAAACAAATAGGACCTACGTTGTGGAAACTTACTCAATTTTACTTACTGGACATGCGCCCGACATAGCATATATTTGGGAAATTTAAGAGAAGTTGTGATATGTAAAAGAAACGAAAAATTTGTGAAACGTCTACTTTATTATTAAAGTAAAACGTACCGTTCTCGACCTGGAATTCTCGAGGGGAAAGAGAACGGCAGAGAAACCCTCGATCTGACATTCCTCAAAAATCGAAACTTACTGTGTCATTTTAAATAATAATTGTGAGTCAATAATTCAATAATTTAAGTCAATAAAAGTTTAAATTAGGTACCGTCTTTGGTCTTTGTGCTAAAATTTTTAATACACACTCAAGATTCAATCAACACTACCTATATTCAATACTGAAGAGTTTTTTTTGTTAGTTATCCAGTTTCCCAGCGGATACTGAGGTCCCATGCGGGAAGCTACTCAGCTATAGTTGTTTTTGAGCCAATATATCTAGATTGATTATTTCAATTTGTCAGGATATTCTCGCGTCAGGGTAGGAAAATGTAAGTAAATTCAACAAGGCACGCTCTAAATACACAAAATCGAAATCTCAGCACAAAAAGACAGCACATAATTTCTTAGGTTTTAATTTACTTCTTTATCTGTGTTGTTTACAGTATGAAACGATTTTTGTTAAATACATGAACAATGCACACAGGGCCGCCGCTAGGGTGTTAGCCGCCTGTGTGCCACGACAATTTCGCCGCCCCACTCCGCTCTAAAGTACAAAATTAAGAGCGTTGGAATGGAATACAATTTTTAGACTTTTAGGCCGGCCTCACACAGCCGGAATGTCTTTCTGAATTCAGAAATAAAATTCAGGCTCGGTAGTCTCGTAGTCTAAAACCTTCGACGTTTTTGACTCGCTAACCACTTTGTGACGTGACAGTCGCTAAGCACCTGACTAAAAACGCGCGAAAGGTTTTCTGCAGGTATTCTGGTTGGAAGGGAAGAATTAGAATTTGAATTCCGGCTGTTGAGCTTGTATATTTGAAACATATGGAAAAACATGCATTATGAATTACCTATAATCTCAATTTTCCAGATCCAGAATTTAAAACATTCGTCAGAGTCACTACTCTGGCTGATCGATATGAAAAATTCATAATTTGAAAAAATCAGATCAGATTTTGAATTCAGTTCCTGAATTCAGGAAGATATTGCGGCTGTGTGAGGCCGGCCTTAGACTTAGCGTATGAGGCATGGTAAAGACGAAGAAAGGACCGCACAAAAGGGAAACGCGCATCTGTAGTGACGTCACAAGGGTATCGGCGCTCGATAATAATAGGCAATCCTCTTTGCTTGTAATCCTTAGTTTGTGTTAATCGTTCGTCGGCAGTCATTGTCATTTGCCATCTTTCTCCGCCTCTTTACGTTACATCTTTCTTCTCTCTCTTGTAACGAAATTTGCCAAAATGTGACGCGTCTTTCATATCACTTTTCATTCTCGTCCAAATATAGAAGACCGCCGCCTTCAAGTTTCACTTCAAAAACCCTATTAGTTTGGTCCGCTGTAATGTTTGGGTGCGTCTGTCGCTGACATTTGATATCCCAATAAAGAATAAAATTTGACAACTCAATTTTTTTTTTGCTTGTTGATATGATAATATTGCCTATTATTGTCAAGCGATGATACCCTTGTAACGTCACTACAGATGCGCGTATACCTTTTGTGTGGTCCTACGTCTTTATCCATACCACCCCATACGCTGTCTAAAAAGTTGTATGAGGGGGGATAGTTTTTAATAAGTTTCACTTTTACCACGTCTACCAAATCATGTGCGGCGCCGTACCGGCACATGATTTTTTTTGCATCAGGATCAGTGGCGGTAACCCTTTTCAATCGGCTGCCTGTGTGTTTTGAACACACCGCACACATGGTAGCGGCGACCCTGAATGTTATAAAAAAATTTATAGACAAACAAAAAAAACATAAAAATGAACAAAATAATAGGAACTTGCATAAATTGAACTCTCAAAAACAAAATAACATTTAATCCACTAACCTGTGAACGCTCCTTACACACACACTAATAACACATTGGATTGAACAATCAATTTTAATGCAAAATAGAAATTAAAATTGAATAATGAATAATTACAGACACGGCTCTAAAGGAAAAAGGAACAGCCCCAGCTTGTTCTCAAGTCTCTCTAATGCCTACTCGCTTCTTCTCTTGTATCCTCTTCGGTTTCGGTACCTTCATTTTCTGTGGCGCGCCCCGTTCAAACCTAAATTTGATGGCGCAGACATGGTTGCAACATTTACTTTTATTCAGTAACCAATTTTTAAAAGTTAAAATTTGAAGAAATAATATTTTAAATAGGTGGTTTTCCTCAACGCCTAAACTCATCAAGTTTGAAGATGGAGAAAATGTGAAAAACCTGAGAACTAGACACACTGATAACTTATGAACCAATGCATGTATTTTATTCTTCATGTTTACTTTTTATCATCATTCTAATTTAATTTGGAAAAATGTTTCGTCAATTTTTATTTTTGTTAAAAAGAAAATAAAAGAAACAAAGCAACTGCTTTAAGTAATGAAGCTATGTGAAGAGAAACCGAAGAAGCAATGGAGAAGATATAGGAAGAAAACCATACTGAAAAAAAGAAGAATTATCCATTTATTAATTCTTTTCTAATCCTTGATTTCCTTCTAATTGTTTTTTTTTTTGTATTATTTTCCCCCTTTTCATATCCCGCAGGGGCTTGCAAATTTAGCAGCACCGCATGGTAACGCCCGTTGATAATCTATACAGGAAATGGGAGTCAAAATGAAAATTTGTAAAGGGCATATGGCCAAAATTGGGTTACCTACTTTAGAATTTACAGAGTGATTTAGATTGATTTATATTATTTCTCTTTTTTCAGATCGCTTTATAAACCCAGTACCCGTACACTGTAATAAATCACCGCCTTTCATGGTAAGTATCATCATAAAGTAAATCGCTTATCCATTACAAAATGACATAAAACACCATGTTCCGCTGCTGTTTTGATTGATTTTTTAAGTGACATTCCACTTCCCACTTCTGGGATTTTTATAGCAATTGAAATAAATAATGGGGTTGCGAACGGTGTTTACATGGTCGAGTTGAAAGAAAAAAAAAACTACCAAGCAAACCATAATATGAACGTTACGGAAGATTTCCAATGCGAAACTCTGTCTCCGATAACCAATATGCATAAAACAGGCCGAAAAATTAAAAATGTCCGCGCCAGTCGACGTCGCAGTCTGACTTCAGCGCTCACGTTTATATATGCAACATTTAAATTTTCATTCGAATACATTATTTCCGTTCACGAAATTGATGTATATTTTTCATAAGTGTAACTTGCCATTGTTTTATTATTCGGTTCTCAAAACGAGACCCCACGAGTCGCATTGTCTTATGAATAATTTACTAATAGGCACATCACATTATATTATTTGCTGGGGAATAACCGTGCATGGATTATTATTATGCAGTCCTAATAACAAAGAAAAGTTGGAATTATTTTGTTTTTAAATTGATTTGTTAGAATTTGGTTTTCTTTAATATTCCTATGAGGATTCAAATTAACAATCTTCTTATTTGAAGCACCCTTGAAATTGTGTTATCGAGTTAACATTTTGAAGGGTTTTCTATTAAAATTTGTGCAGTAGTGATGTTGTGAGGTTGTCTGCTATAAGAATTATGTAGCCAAGCACCAGAATGAGAATGCCTGGTAAATAAGGTAAGCAATGTAATGATACAATATTTATTTAAATTTTTTCACATATCTATTTTGTGTTACCTGATCTACTTGGACATCTTCTCAAGAGCGGTCCAATAGTATTGCAAAATCTATTCCTGTATTATTCTTTCAATATTATAGGTGCATATTTGATGTATAGGTTTGATATGGACAAAAGATCATGCCGTTGACCGATCAATTCCAACTCCAGTGGAAAGATGTTAATCCATCAATTGAAAAATAGATGAGGCACCATGAAGCAAGGCAATCAAGAATACCGATAGTTGAAGACTTCTATACAGACCTGTATATTCTTCCTCAAAACCAACACCGCAATGAGTAGATATAGTCGAAAAATCCATAATGGATGTCAAATTTAAGGAATCTACTAAGAGATGGAATCAGCAGTAAAATGTTGAAACCAGGGGAAGACGTTTACTCAAGAGTTATTCTGATTTCAAAAAATGTACCGATAAGCCTGACGAGGATTAGAACCAACGAAACTCGCCAATATCAGCGTCCCAAACTAAGCAGGCTTCCACAGAGGAAGTAGAAGGGGACTTCCACATAAATCCTTACTCCAAATTTATCATATATTTTCTTAAAAATCGCAACTTTGACGTTTGGATTAACGATGAGTTTTCTGAAGTCAAAAATATACACACGGATACGGTTCTCTTACCAATTTAGTCTAATATCTGTACTATTAACGGTTCCGCTGATCATGATATAAAAATATCGATGAATTCTGCATCTTATAAGATGGTAGCCCAAGACTTAAGTTTTGAGTGGGTAAAATTATGGAAGATTGAAATCGATGATTATAAGACCCAGGCCGTTCTTATTTCCAATCAGGTTTCATCAAGAAAGACCACAATAAATATCTGGCAATTATCGTAGCTAACTGGAAAATGGAATAATGCCCTTCAGCAATTTGAAAAAGTCTCAAAAGGGATTTCCAGGTTACTCTGTAGGATTTGCGGTGCTCCTTGGTACATTTTTATTGAAAATCACGTGCGGTTTCTTCAGAAAGTTGACAACCGTTTCAACCAAATTAAGTGTAACTTTAAAAGCCAAATTATGGTTCTGCTATTAGGTTCACTCACATATTTATCAAGCTGGTATGGTATGGATCTTTGCCACGGAAAGGTCGAGAAAAATAGTTCTAGGCCTTCCCAATCTGCAGCTCCATAATGACACACCCTACGAGGTGTTGGAGCAGGAACTGAAACGAACTTCGAGCAGAAAGCGATTTGTGGTCTGATTTGCCCAAAGGTGCAAACACATCGATCTTGTAAGGATCTGAATTAGTAGTAAGGCACAAATCGAGTAAATTGGCCTGTTGAGAAACCGAATCGAGAGCTATGAACCTTCGATTATCCTTGCCAACCAATATGTAAAAATAGAGATTTTCCAATAAGTTTTTAACCCTGATTGTTTAATTACGTACATATAACGGCAAATTTCCTCCATTATTGTTCATATTTGATAAGGAATGGTTGTTTGGTAGTAGAAGTTAGGGTTGAGATATTTTCGGAAGGTTCATAGATACAGGAAAGAATACCAAATCAGAGAACAATGTCATTATTATAGGTGTGAGCCTAAATAGGAAATTCATGAAAATCGTGCACTTTGTGCCAGGTCTTTCAAATTTGGTTTAGTTTTAGGTGTGGTCTTGACGCTTTAGAAAACCAGCGCAAGCAACTTGTGCGCGGCTTCTGGTGGCCTGTTAGCTATAAATCTATGGGTTCTAGGATGCGAGGAATCCATTTTTCTCGCCTAATTCGTGTTCAAAATCAATGTCAAGGTCATAAAATATTTTGTTATGAAATTTTGGACAATAAAATACAAGATAAAGAAACATTTTTTTTTAAAATTAGTTCTATGGTATTTATTAATTACATTACAGAATATGAAGAAACGTAAATTACAGGTTCGTAACATACCTATAATATTTGTTAGGTAACTTATGCATCATATGAGCTGTTTGTGCAACCTTCTTGACACTTGCATAATGGGCTGCAGCGAGTCCCGGCTCGATAACTTTTACATCTGCCTGCGCATGAGACCAAACAACCACAATTGAGTAACAATGAACATCCATGGCTTGCATTCGGAAGATCAGGGCACCCATTCTTTGGTCATTTCATTCCCAACCTCATTTACTGTAATTAAAAATAGCAGTCGATTTAGATAGAGACATCTTCCAAAACGAATGCGGTAGTGAGCAGCGCTCGCTCTATATGCTGAAATAAAGCATGTTGTGATGGCGGTATAGATTCAAGGGCCTTCAGGCCTTGGGTAAACATCATTTTCCTTGCATCATTGACTGAATCTGCACCACAGTTTATGCTGTACATCAGAACTGTGAAGTGTTCAAGATAAGACATATGCTGTGATTTCAACGTGTATTAGTGAAGTCAATGAACATGTCAGTGACCTCAGGATATATTTTCGATCGACGATGTTATATCACACCCTGTAAATGCATGAAAAAAGAGAATGGCTTCCGAGCGTTCAAGTCCAAGCTGTTGACAGATATAATGGATTGGAATCTTTTTAAAGGTCTTTCTGACATATTCACCCGTTTGAAGTGATAGATGGCCAGAACAACCACGTCTATGTCCACTGTGATGAGGTACGCTTTGGCATGTCCTTGCTGAGCAGCGTGTTGCAAGTGCAACATCATTCTTCTTACTGACTTGGATATATGGTTGATATGTCACTCATTCTGTTGCTTAGCACCTGATTATCCTTTGTGGTGAATAGCTGATACGAAGCTCCAGTGGTAAGTTCAACCAATTTCTCGCTGAGAAAGTGGAATTAGTCTAGTGTTGGAGTTTGATAAAAATTTCACCCATGCTGAACCCTTTGGTATAGTAAGTGTCACCTCTTTGTCTCGGGTCTGTGATTCAAGACTGCCATCTTGAAATGTGTCCCAGACTGCATCTACTCTGGTGGAGCGATATAGGTATGCAACGCAGAATGCATGCCTCTATTATACAGAGTCGAATTTGACCCACAAAAAAGTTAACGCGACTTGGATGAGTGAGAGCCGCCTGGGCCAGGCATACCAGGAAGACACCCAAGAAGAGCGGATTTCGTTCCATACAGTGCATTAGATAATGCAGGTGGATCACGCTGGTTCTCGTTTCTGAAGAAGTCATTTATATCAGCTTGTGGTCGTGCTTGCAAACTCATAATTAGCTTCGTGATGAGCGCTGCATTTGCCTTCGCTGTTCCCAACTTACTGGGGCCCCTTGTTAGGATTTGCAGGCGACTGGTTGCTAAATGTGTATATGATTGACCTTGGAATTGTGTCTGAGAGGGGTTTTGTATCACTTTGAATTCTGTCCTTCACAAAGTCCTTATACATGGTTTCGCCCATCTCCTTAACCCCCTTCAGGCACCAAGCAACAACAGGATCCATGACCTCACCAGTATACAATGTGAAGAGTTCCGTACTTGTCTCTTTAAATGGTTTAACAATTGTTCCATTCTGTACTACATTAAGAAGGAATTTCAGGTGTTGAAGAAATTTTGTCTGTTCGGTAGTAGAAGAGTCCTGATTATTTATGGATGAATAATTCAAATTACGTTAAAAATAATCCATTACCCTCAGCACCTCAAGTTACGAAATCTCGAGGACCTCCTTCTCTTCTTTCTGACCATATAGACCCTTGGGTCCACTATCCGTCTTTAGGAATTGGATACTATGCTCGTGGCTCTAATCTAGTGCCATGAGAGAGAACTTTTTTTCACTACGTTGATTGGTATGTTGTAAACGTGTCATGTCATTCAAAAAAACCGAGAGCCAACGTGAATAGTTTGTGTGACCAAAGACGAAAATTCATGGGCGAAGTTTTTCGCAGGAACTCTTAAAAAGTAGCCAATCACGAACTTGCTGACCTCTAACGAAACGGCAAATCAACAGGGGAAAGATTTTACAGTAAGTGACTTTTCCCAGATCTTCATGGATTCATGCGGCTCAAATACTTCTTGACAGTGCTCTTTGTTTGCTTCAACTTCTAAGACGTGTAGCCATGCAAGAGTATGTTGGTAAGCATACCTTGTACGCTTCACATGCTTTCCACCAAGACAAGACACTGCGATTCCAGAGGTGAATACTTTTGCTATGGAAAACATCCGATCCCATCCTGATCCAGCTAACAACTATCCCACGCATTCTTGCGAAGCTATCTCGACATGTAGCAAACCCTTAAGGGTATTGGATGCGCCTCAATGCCAAAATATTTGTTCCTGCGCGAAGCACCTAACGCAGTCTATCATTGTATTCTTCCGCTCCGATTAATACTCCTTAGTGGGAATGAGATGAATGAAACAAGGAATGCATTGCATTCTTAATTTCAACCTAATTTTTTAACAATTGACCTTTTCAATTTAGAAGCCTCTCTCTCTGGCGTCAGACTGTCAGATGCCAAAAGAGTATGAAAAGTATGAAAACAATGATTGACAGCTATTGACAATGGTTTGTTGACAAGAGTTTTATACGTGTGAGACTGGAAACTATTATTTCCTCGGTGTTTTCAAGGTTTTTTCCTAACAATGGTGATTGTGTGTAGTGTGCCTTTTCGTGAAAATAATTCCTATTCACCGGCGGACGTGTCTTTCCATAAGTTTTCATCAAATCCTACATTTGTCAAAATTTGGATACACAAAATCAGAACTGATACTCGCAAAAGTAAGGGAAATCCACGACCCATCAAGTATACAAAGATATCCACATTCAAGTTTAGTTTGCGGAAGCTGTTTGCTTCCCACATTTTCTTTCCAATTTCAAATTTCACCATTCTATGTCGGTCATTGTCATTTTCCATTCACTGAACAAAGATACCTAACTCATCGGTGGAGTCACCGATTAGAATAAAAACCAGGGGATTGCTAAACACCCTATACACTTGACATTGACGAGCAAGCAAATGTTGGCGGGAATCTGAATGTTTTCATACTTTATCGTCCATCTCTTTTAATTGAAAACGTCAATTGAAGTTATATCAACTTTCTTTTTTGCATATTTTTAGAAATCCGATAATAGAAACAAGTTCTCGAAAAATTACAAACATGTAATTTAAACTGAAAAAAAAAACAAGAATAGTATATTAAAATACAAGTTTGGACACGAGCGACGAAGGAGCGAGTGGACGAACGAATGAGTGCGAGAATCGCCTTCTGCAACGTGAATTTTATACTATTTTCTCGATTTTGGATTCTAGTTTTCATTTTTTCAAAATTTTCCGTGGTTGCTGTTAGTTGGGGATTTCTTTTTTGCAAAATATGTCAGTTGGTGACACTTACTTACCAGCCAACTGACAGATGGATTTTATTATTTTTTCATTGTTATTTTAAAAGGTTTGACAATTTTGAAGGTACCAATAGGTATACTTTGAAAACTAAATGTCACTAAATGTCACTAAAAATCGTTGAAGAATGAGCTTCATTCTTCAATGATTTTGCGTGCGGGAATAATGACATTCTCACATCAAAATCGAGAAAATTAATCAATTTATGGTGTTTTTTTTTTAGTTAGCGCCATTCTTATGTGTGTTAGCAATACAATGGCGCAAACCAGAATTCCAAAAATTATCTAGTTTTTTTTGTAGAAATTTAATTGATTTTTCTTGTCATTTTCTCTATCTCTGTTATGCCTGCAGCAAACCCCATGGTCTCCGCCTGTTTTTCTATACATTTTAAATCGCCGTGATGAA